AAGGGTCTGATGGTTTGAGTGTCGATGTTTCAATCCCAGTTATTCACTGCAGGTGGGATCCTACAGGATCTCTCTGCCTGGAGCTGCTGTGACCAGCCCTATGCAACACCCATCCCTCCCAGGTTCCATCAAAATCCATAATCCAAGACCCAAAATCAAGGCTTACGGTTCCTTTTCTTGAATGACATAAAACAATCTGTTTATTTAGGAAACGGGCCCCAGAAATCCATGAAAATTCAGTGTTTTGCTCAAGATCCCAGCGCTCCTAGCAGGGATCTGAATCTCCTCCCTCTCATCTTGGTGTTCCAGCCACAGAATCCTCATTCCTGCATGGAAAATCAATTTGGAACAAGTGTTTTCAGGCTGCTCTTCGCACATCCCTGCACCGGGGAATCCCTTGGAGAAGCACCTGAGCCCTCCACGTGGAGCGAGTTCAAGGAAATAACAATGTTATAACCAAGGAGCTGTTCCTGCTTTGCTCCACTGCTCCTTTTAGGACAAACCCCAAGGTCTTGTGCCCTGGGATCCACCCCAGCCCAGCTGCAGCTCCTGACTGTGCTCGCTCTGCTCCCTCCGAGCAGAGGATAAAAATAACAGCAAACCTCCCACTCACTTTTGGGAGCCAAGCCCTGCTCGTCATCCCCAGTCTTCCAGCCCTTGGAGAGGGAGGAGCGTGGAGGAGCCCAGTTTGCCCCAGGCTCTCAGCTCCTGGGTTGGATTCCTGGTGGGAAACCAGCCTTGGAAGTGCTGAAACTCTGGCCCTGACTCACGTGGCAGTTCAGCAATCCCAGGCTGCCAGTGGGGAAAGGGTTAAAAGGCACCCGTGCCTTGCTTTAAAAATTAAATCCTTGCTGTCCCACTGACCTCCAGGGGAAACAGCTGGACCCAAAAGCAGATTTTTAGATCCTCAGTGTGTTCCTGAGATAACACAGCCTGCCATGGTGCTGAAATGGTGTCAACTCTGAGCCCAGTTTGCCCCAGGCTCTCAGCTCCTGGGTTGGATTCAACCCATTCCTGGTGGGAAACCAGCCTTGGAAGCGCTGAAACTCTGCCAGGGCAGCTCTCTGCTCACGTGGCAGTTCAGCAATCCCACTCTGCCAGCGGGGAAAGGGTTAAAGGCACCCAGCTGGACCCAAACCAGAGATTTTTGGATCCTCAGTGTGTTCCTGAGATAACACAGCCTGGTGTTAACTCCGAGCCCAGTGTGCTCCTGCCATGACTAAGGGAGCGACACTCCTAAAGCTCTCATTCCCATCCCTTCATCCAACATCCTGCTGTGTCAGCTGCAGGCAGTGCTTGCTGCCAGCCCCACTCATCCCTGAGTGAGGGATAAATACCTGGGAAGTGCTCCATGAGGTGCTGCCAGCTCAGCCTCCTGCAGGGATTGTCATTCCCACGCTCTCCTGGGATGCAGCTCCGGGAAAGTTTAGTCCAAACCTGCATCTCCACTGGGTGTTTGTCTTCTAGAACCACCCATGGAGCTCAGCAGGAATCCACTGGAGAATGATGCTGGGGAAGGACCCAGGAACCTTAATTTTAATCCTAAAACATAATTAATCCTAAAGCTTTGGTGATTTCAACTTATTTAGCTCCTTGGACGGTGTGACCTGGAATAGAGGAATGTTGAATCCAAAGCCAGTTCTATCTGACTGCCCCTAAAATCAGTGAGATTTGGACAGTTCTCTGTCCCAAGAGAGTTCCAGGATGTCTTTCACCCATTTCTAAAGAAGGCACTTCCTGATACCGGCCTGAAAAAAAAAATCCAGTTATTTATGAGTGTTGGTTTTGTTGAGAAACCGAACAAAGAAAAATAGTGTTTGCAACAAATGAGGGCTGGAATAAATGCTGAATGTTTGTCTCTCCCCCCCACCCCTCTTTTGTGTCCTTATCTGCCCACAAATGTAAATTTGCTGGTTCTTTTTCTGGCTCGTGGGCTGATGTCCTTTGAACCACACACAAGTTTTGCAGGTGGAATAATATTTCTCCACAAGAAATATTAAGAAATATTAAGCTGCAAAGAATGAAATTCCCTCCCTGTGCCAGTCCATTCAGAGGGGCTCAAAGCAGGCAGATGGGTGTGTGGAGTGGTTCAATTAATTTACAAACAGCTTTCGAATTATCCTGTTTTTTCTATCACAACCATTTATTTTTCCCCTCAGCCAATCATAAGAAATGGGACTGTCAGAATCCGGTTTCTGCCATAAGGCACTTCCAAATTATTTAGGTTTTATGGGGGCACGATAAGAGAGGAATAACTGTGTTCTGAGGTGAAGTTTTGGGGTGAAATTTTCTTTCGGGAGGCGAAAACGCAACCGGGAAACAACCCAGAAAACAACAGGTTATGGGAAGCGATTAAAACCCCCCCCTAAAAACTAGAATTTACCAGCGAGCAGAGGGTCAGGGAAGAGGAATAACAAAGCATTTCTCCCAGGCAGGTGTCCCTTATCAGGAGCATTCCAGCCTGCCCTGTTTGTCACAGGAACCGGCCGGAGCGGGAGCGCTCGGAGCCAGGGAATGATTCAGTGGGGATGGGGAAGGGCAGGTGGAGCAGGTAAAGTCACCTCCAGACAGGAAGGTATAAAAGATCCTTGGATTGCAGCTCTGGGGCCACTCGTGCACAGGGAGCTCCTGGAGGTCACTTGTCCTGTGCCAGGAAAAACCACCCGGAGCTGGGACACCAAGAGGACACTTTTATAAACACAAAAAAAAAGCCCCTCTGGAGAGAAGACTCTTCAGGGGTAGAAATCAAGAGCCCAGAACATGCTTTCCTCCTTCTAACAGCACCCTGAACAGGTATTTATTGACTTTAATCTGCTCCACAGCTCTTGCCTTGCTGGGGGGTTCATTGCTCTGAGTTAAAGATCCCATCAGGGGACCATCAGAACAGTGCTGGCCACTGGCCTGATGGAGCAGAACCCTTGTGATCTCCTTGGTTTTATGGGGTAGAAAGAAGTTTTCTAGAACTTGTAAGAAGCCCTGAATTACTTAGTTTTATTTATTTACTTAGTCGTATTTATTTATTTAGTTTTATTTATTTACTTACTTGTATTTATTGACTTTGGTTTGTTTATTTGCTGAGTTGGTGTGTTTCTTCTCGTTATTTACTGGTGTTCCTGAAGTTTCTGGAAAGCCCAGGTAAAAATATTTGGTAATAGGAGATAAATAGCAGAAAGGTCTGGGAGAGGCCGTGGGGGTCTGAATGAAAAAAAACAACATCAGAAAACCAAACAAAAACCCCCAACCCCCAACCAATTCTATTAAAAAGACACAGGCAGAGGGGGGAGGCTGAGCATGAATCCAACCTGTCTCGTGCCTCAGCTCTGTTCCCTACTCTTTGTGTCTCTCCAGTTTAATTCAATTATCTGTGTAATTACCTGAGCCAGGTGCCAACATAACACCGAGGGGTCGATATAAAATAACCAGCCTCTAAATTTATTAAAACTAAGGCACATCCACGGCGTCACAACCCTGCTTAGGGAAGTTAAAACGCAGGCAAAGACTTGTCCCCTCGTTTAAAAGCAGCTGCTGTGAGTAAACTTCAAGTTTACTATATCAGGATGTTGCTCTGACATGTTACAGAGCAGTAAAAAAAAAAAACCTCAACAGAGCAGCTTTAATTTCAAAACAGGGGTTGTGAAATCGCAGCTTGTGCAAGCCCAGGCTCTCTCTTTCTGAGGTTACCTCCTGCCACTGGTTTTACTGCTCAGAAGCTCTGAGAAACACTCAGGAACTGCAGAGAACTGGATTGTAGAGGATGGAGTTCTGCAAAACAGAAATTTAGTAAAAAAAAAACCAAAACCAACCAAAAAAAACCAAATAAAGAAACCCAGGGGTTTTTCCTCGTCTCTGTGCCAGCTTAGGCTTGGATTTGTGATTCATCAGCATCTGCCAGATTGTGTTAAACATGCATGGGGATCTGGAGCCAGGAAATAAAAAAATGACATTAGAAACCATTCCAACTGGCTGCAAAGTGCACAAAATTGGACTTGAGGAGAAGCTTCACCAAAGTTAACATTTAGATTAAGAGAAGGAAAAGAAGGGAGGTTCTGAAGGCTGGTTTCAGCTCTGGCAATGCCAGCTGTGAGGGGAGAGGGGAGAATTCTCCATCCTGAAATAATGGAGATTTATTTTAGTGCAACGTGAGGGACACTTGGTCCTTCTGATCCCTTAAATTACCCTTTTTGTGGCTCTGCTCCACACACTGGGCTGCAGAGCTGTAATTACAGCACCAACCTGGACATTTCTGGCTTGTCATCAGCAAATCTCCCATCAAGGGAGAATCAAGCCTGGCTAGTTGGGTGACACATCCCAAAAAAATGTTCCTGTCACCAGGAATTTCCTCCAGCCAAACACTTGCTTTCGGGTAAAACCACTCAGCAGCTGCAAAGCTGAGAGGGGCTGTAGGTGAGGCTGAGAGTTTGGGGTAAAACAACCTGAGCTGAAGGTGCTGCCGAGGTGGGTGAAAAAAATTGGAGTAATTTGGAAACCAATTTGCTGGAATTGGTGGCTCAGCCACTCCAGGCTCCTCCAGGGAGCACAGGGCAGCAAGGCTTTGGTGCTGAGCCTCCTCCTCCAGGGCTGAGCTGGGTGTCCTCAGGGAAACCAGAGTAACAAGGAAGCAGCAGAGAATTGCCCCTGCTCTGCCCCCAAGGCCATTTCCTCCAGCCTTGCCCGCCTTGCTGTGTCACGGTGACAGGCCAGAGGTGCTGCTGGAGGCTGAGGATGGAACAGACGGTGCCATAAAACCATTTCCTCCCCTCCCTCGGCTTCTCCCGTGACACGGGGGAGTTCAGATCCCGCTGTGGATGGAGATAACCTCGGGTGGTGCCTCACCCACCTGCAGCAGGACCACAGATCAAGGCACGAAGCGCCCCAAAGAGGCTCCCCCCCGTTTCCCTCCACGCCTGAACAGTGTTATCTGTCTCTTAGGCCTTGCTCTTGCTGCCACCATAATCCCTGAGGGCCTCCCAGACTAATAGATTGCCAGGGCGAGGCCCCTCATGGAGTCTTCTGCTCTCCTCCCTGCTCAGGTGTCGGGGAGCACCACCCGGGGTAGGTCCGTGTCGTGTCTCTTGGCGCCCAGAGGGAGGAATTCAGGGGGAAGGACTGCTCCCCTCTGGGATCCGTGGTGTCCTGGTGCAAAAGGCTTTGGCTCCTGGTGGATCTCTGCGGGTTCCTTGCTTCTGTGTGCAGGATTTTTGACTTCACCTTCGGGATGCAGCTTCCCACAGGCTCCCTGTGTGCTTCTCGCCTCTGGATGCAGTGGAAGCCACCAACTCGCTCTTTGTTCCTCTGAAGGGGTTAAAGCTGGTGATGGGGGTGTCTCCACCTTGTTTAAAATGAAGGCTTGTGGTTTTCCTCTCTTCCAGAGGCTCCCAGGGCTCTGTTTCTCTCCCGGGGCTCCGTCATGTCGTGCTTCTCCCAGCTGTGGCATTCCAGCACTCCGGACTCTCCCACCAGCCCGACCCCTGCCTCTCCTGGTGAAGTCCCCATCCCCATCAGCCCCATCGTGGTGACCTCCCCAGGAGATGGCAAGAGGAAGGCGAGATCCCCCACCAGCTCCCCGGGCTCGCCCAACCCGACCTCTCCCAAGCCGACCTCCCCCGTGGAGTGCTCCATCTGCTTCAACACCTACGACAACACCTTCAAGACCCCCAAACTGCTCCAGTGCTCCCACGTTTTCTGCCTGGAATGCGTGGCCCGCCTGAGCACGGGGCTGCCCCCCAACCAGCCCGAGGACCTGCTGCCCTGCCCCTTCTGCAGGCAGCTCACCAACATCCCCCAGGAAGGCGCTCCCGCCCTGGAGACCAGCAAGGAGCTGCTGGCCACGCTGCCCCCGGAGCTGCAGCGGGAGAAGGTGCTGTGGATGGAGGGCACCAAGCTGTGCTGCCGCAGGGCCTCGGACGACGCCGAGAACCCGGAGTCCTGCATCTCCATCGACGTGGCCATGAGCAAGCCCGAGAGCCCCGAGGCCCCGCCGAGGGGGCTGGCGGGGAGGTTGTCCCGCTGCGAGGTGTGCGACGACTGGAAGCGCATCCTCCTCCTCTCCGCCCTCGTCATCATCCTCTTCTGCATCATCCTCTGGCCGGTGCAGTGCGCCCTGAAGACGGGCAACATGCGCTGCTTCACCAGGACTGTGGCCACCATGAGCAGGCCCGAGTACCTGCCCCCCAAACCCACCACGGCGGCGGCGGCGGCGGCGACAGAACCCCCTTTTTTCCAGTAGCGGCCCCTGGCTCTGCTCAGCTCTGCGCCCGCACCGGGGAGGAGCAGCAGGACCTGCTGCCCTGCCAGCATTCCTTGGATTGCTGGGCAGCCCCTGCGTCCCCTCCTGTGCCCGCCTCCGGGGGCTCTCCACTGGAATGCTGCTCCAACCCGGAATGCTGCTTCAAGGAGCCGCCTCTGCATCCTGCTGCCAAACTCTCCATGGAAACCAGAGCTGGGAAAGCCGCGGGGAGGGTTCCAGGACTGTTTCCCTCGTGTGTGTATGTGTCGCTGCCTTGGCTAGAGACCAGGTGGCAGCGGGTGCAGTTCCTCGAGCTCCCCGAGGGAATAAAGGGCTATTTTTTTCTTTTTTGGCAAATTGAAGGATCTACGTGATTATTCCTACGAGGAGCTGGGATTGGGAGGGTAAAGACATGGCTGTATAAACAGGTGAAAAACATACTTACTCCCCACGCTGCAGAGGTTTCAGTTGTGTTATGCAGCGTGAGAGGTGTAACTGCTGCCTCCTGCTGACAAAACGCGGATCCATCCCTGCTGCCTTCCTTCCCCGTGTTACCACCCTGATGAGCTCTTCAAGTAGCCATTCTACTCGTTTTTCCCAAGAAGATGCTTAAAAATCACTCATCCCCACCTGGAAGGTGGTTCTGCACCCAGGGGTGAGCTCTGTGAGGCACAGACACAGCACCACCCCGACCCTCGAGTTTCTGCATCAGCAAACTTCACTCAGAACCTCTCACCGTGGCCAAAAAGTTCCACCTTTCGACAGCTTTACCCTCCTAATCTTCAAATGTGTCAGTATTAAGACACAGGCCAGTGGCTGACACTCTACTTTTATTTAAAGCAGTGATCTGACAGTGATTTAAGAGTCTTCATGCTGAAGGCGGCTCACAATGAATATTTTCTATTCAGACATGGATCTAAGACAGTATTGTATGCGAGTGCCATTATGTGTATGTATTAAATTATGTTTTCTACAATGCAAGGTGTCAGTCTGTAGCAATTACCCCCCGTTATCCCTTTTTTACTTGCAGTTGGAGGTGCTCCCTCAGCAGTCCAGCTGCATCCCCAGGTCACGGTGGCACGGCTGTGCTCTGCTCCATCCCAGTGCTGTGCCATCCTGCACGTTTATCCTGCAAATTCACTCCTCCCACCGCCGGGGTGGGGTTGTCCCAGGTGAGACTTCCCTCTGTGTTCACCTGATTCGACCTGGAAAATGAGAAGCTGCAGAGCCTGCTCATCCCTCCCTCCTTCCCAGCTGGTGACGATGCTTCCAGCCTCCCTTTCCAGAAAAAAAACAATCTCATTTGGAATAGAAAAGGCCGAAGCAATGGCAGAAATAGCTCAGGGGTGTTGCTGTGTGGAATTCTTGGGGAAAGCTGCTGCATGTGCTGTGCCTGCACCTCCCCTGGGGTTCAGCTGCAGGCTGGTGTTACCTGTGCCAGCCCCAGGAACGCTCCAGGCCCTGGAAAAATCTGCCAAAGCCACTGGGCTTGACAGGGATTCTCATCTGCCTCATCCTACCTGCTCTTCATATCTTCACAGCACCAAACTGAGTGAGTTCCTGGAAAAAAAGTAACTCACCGAGGCTTCAGGCAGAGAAGGCACTTCTATTTTTCCTCTCTCTTCCATTTGGGACTAAGCCCAGCAACCAGGCACTGGGAGGGATGAAGTGCTTTGTCATTACATCTTCATTAGCACTCGGCTCCCACTGAGGAGACCCAAGGACAGGGCAGAGGGAAATAACATTTGCAGCCTCATAAAATCTACTGTTACAGTGGAAAACAGTTCCAACTGTTCCCAGTGGTCTGTCCCCTCATGGGGGTTGTCCCTTTGCACATCCCCAGCCCACCACGGACTTGGAAATAAAGGCTGAAAGGTTTAGGTAACACACAGCTGAACCTCTCCCTTCTTATGGTCAAAGGAAGGGAAAACAGGGCCCTGAACAGCAGCATTTGGCCATAGGGACATTCAGGGTGTCCCACTGTTCACACCATCAGTCTCTTTCCCAAAAAAATCAAACTACTTAAAAGAAAGGAAAAAAAAAAGCCTGGAGAATATTCAACATTTATTAGAAGTGCAATAAAAATAAACAGTTCTCCTGCCCCTGGGACAAAGGAGCAGAAAGACCAGCCAGGAATTACAGCCAAGGTGTGTCACTGTGCATTTGTTCAACCCTTTGGCTCAGCACTAACACCCCAACCATGCAGAGTCCTTCCCATTCCAGGGATGCAGGAGGAGACTGGGACATCAGCCCTGTGCCTGCTCTGGGGGTTCAGCACTGGCTCTGGGGCCCAAAACTGCTCTGGGGGTTCAGGCATTTTACCCTCAGACCCAAAAATGCTTTGGGGGTCCAGTACTGGCTCTGGGACCCAAAACTTCTCTGGGGGTTCAGGCACTGACCCTAAGACCCAAAACTGCTCTGGAGGTTCAGGCATTTTATCCCCAGACCCAAAACCGCTCTGGGGGTTCAGGCACTTTGTCCTCAGACCTAAAACTGCTCTGGGGGTTCAGGCACTGACTCTAAGACCTAAAACTGCTCTGGGGGTTCAGGCACTGGCCCTCAGACCCAAGGCTCCCCCCAGAACACACTTCCAGGCTGAGGGATCCTGCAGGAAGGGTTTCTTTGGCAGGACTTGGGGCTGGAACTGCGGGAAGCACTAAAGACTTAAGAGAGCTGGGACACTCCACTCTGCAACACACTCGTTTCCTGGCACTGCTCAGGTCACAAACACACCTACAACAGCCCTACTCGGCAGAAACAACACTTGCCTTGTCACAGAGGCGTGGAAGGGGGTGGCAAAAAGGTCGTGGCAGAGCTGCATCGAGCTTAGAGGGGGCCCAGCTCCAGAATTCCAGCTGGGATCATCCCCCCAGGCTGCTCTCAGCAGGGGTGGCTGAAAGCCCAGTGCCCAGAGCTGTGTCCCTGCTCCTCAGCACCCAGGGGGGACCTCCCTGAGCCCAGCATTCAGGAGGGAGGTGCCCCCTCTGTGCCCCTCAACTCTGCTGGAGAACTGGGAAGAGCAGTTTGGAGGCTGCACACGGAGCAGGGATCATTCCATGTGCTCTGGCAGCGTTGCATAGGAAATCTGGGAACTGCTACAGCCAAAAGGAGGGGTGAGGAGAGGCATCAGCTGGGTCCAGGCAGTGCTCTCCACTTCTCCCCCTCACAGGCAAAGTTACTCCAGGATTTAGGCTTCAAACCACTTTGTAGCTCAGAAATGGGTTGCCCCAATGAAAACCTGACAGTGCTAAGGTTTTACTGAAGCCCTGAGTGGGCAAAGACCCCGGGAAAGCTTCGAGCAAAGAGTTGTTTCCGTTCCTTTTGCGTGTAAAAAATAAGAAGTTTAAATTAAAATAGTAAAAAAAAAAAAAAAAAAAAAAAAAGGCAAAAATCAAAACAACCCTGAAGCTGAGCCTTGATGCCCTAAAGAATGTCCAGAGGCACTTTCACATAAATATCAACCTACTGATGCAGGGGGAGAGTGGGAGGAGATCCTTCTCATGAATAAGTTAGGATAAGGCGTGTTCTTAGGTGCAGGTTCTCGGGCAGCTTCTCCCCTCCTCTCCAAATCCAAGGTGCTTGGGGGAAGGCAAGACAGGCAAACAAAACTGTCCTCAGTTGCAGAACTTGGGGAGGGTGGACGTAAACACTGGAAATCCTGCATTCCAAAAGGAGAAGGGAAGAAGGGTGGCAGGTTTACAACTGGGAGAAAATAAGGTTACAGAGCTGAGATAGTCCCACAGTTCCCTGACAGAACAGCCTGAAAAGCTGCTATTAATTGATAATATTGAATACTGAGAATATTGGGATTTCCCCCCTCCCTGGGAACATCATAAACACGTTTCTCTGTTGAGATCTCACTTCCACCCCCTTTCTCCCACAGCCACATCTTTAAGCTGCCCCAAATTCCACCCCACATTTGCAGGCAGAGCCTCTGAGACGTGCCCAGGAAACAAATTGTGGGAGGCCTGAAAATTGGATTTTTGGGGGAGTTTCAAACCACGACACTGAGCTGCAGAGGAGCTGCTCGGACGTGGCACAAAGCAGCGTGGTGACACTCTGGGGTGACCCCAGGGGGACATTCCTACCTGTGGAGCCTCCACACAGCTCCTCTATCGCCCTGAATTACTCATCCCTGAAACCTTTGGGCTTTTGATGTTGAGGTTCTCGTAGAGGACGGAAGCTGACTCCTCATCCACCCTGTCAGGAAACAGAGCCCTGTCATTAACAGCCTCACCACTCTGGATCTTTGCCCAGAGGCTGCTGGCCAGTGGGAATGGCCCAGCCAAGCTCCCTTTTGCCCTCCCCACTGTTCTCATTCCCTGTTTTCTCCCCCTCTGGCTGGGCCACCCCTCCTTGGTTCAAATGCTTGGGAGTGGAGCCTATAAATGACACGTGTCCCCCCCCCCCCGCCTTCAACCATAATCCCTCTCCAGCACTCACAGGTGTCCCATTACTTGGGGCAAGGGCAAAAACATAATTTGGGGTAATTTATCTCTGCTTATGTAAGGAATTCACGCTCCTTAACCCATGCTCCCTCTCCACACGGACTCAAATCCACCTCTGTCTGCTCTCCTCTCATCTTCCTTCAGATTAAAGTGGCAGTGGCACAGTTTCCCTCTCCAGCTGATTGCCCAGAGCCATTCTCCAGAGCCAAGGATAACAGGATACTACTCTCTAGAGGAGTATTTTATATATATATATCTATCTTTATATATATAAAGATCTAGTTCCTCCTCCCCCTTCCAAGAGTGCAGCACACCAGCAAGGTGGTGCTACCCCTGCTGCTGACAGTGGGGTGGGATCACCTGTTTATTTGGGCCATTCCCACACGATATCCAGCAACTGCTCAGGATTCAGGTGTGGGAAAGACACTCTGGAAAAGGACAAACACCGGGAGAGACCCTCAGCTTACCCAGAGGGGGTCCGTGGGGAGGGGGGCTGCCCTTTGGCTCTGCCCTTTTCCATGGGAGGGTAGCCAATGTTCAGGTAGTCTCGTTCTTTCCTTTTATTCCTCTGGAAGAGAAAAGCAAAGACAATAAAACCCCCACTTCAGGCAGGTGGAGAAAAAAAGCTTTTCCAAGACCCTTTACGAGGCGGGGATTGACTCGACCTCGCAGGTCTTTCCCGACCTCAACGACTTCGGATTTGAGTTCCAGGGAGAAGGGGGGATGTTGTTCTCCTCCAGCCAAGCCCAAAGGGGGACATTCCCTCACCTGTTCTTCCTCCAGCCTCTTCTGCTCGGCCTCGATGAACTGCTGCACCGCCATGTACACGAACTTGTACTGAGCCTCCGTCTGCACCATCCCCGAGCGCTGCCGCCGCACCATCTGGATCGTCTTGGGGATGTCGATGTCGCAGTCCAGGCCTGCCCCAGAGCCAGCAGAATGACGGTTAGGGAAGGAAAATTAATTCCAGGAATGGTTTCCCTAAGACAGTTTGAAAGCTCTGGGTCTCTGGCTGCGCGACGGCGCCGCGGAGCACCGGAATGTTGAGGGTGTTGTGGAGGGGTTCGGGGCATCGCTGGGACTGAGGGAAGGGTTAGCCCTGCCAGAGGAGAAAAATGGGCTGGGGAGGGCTGAGGAAGGGCTGGGGAAGGGCTGAGAAAAAGATGAGGAATGGGTGGGAACGGACTGAGAAAAGGATGAGGAAGGGCTGAGGAATGGGTGGGAATGGGCTGAGGAAAGGCTGAGGAAGGGATGAAGAAGGGATGAGAAAAGGATGAGGAGGGGCTGGGGAAGGGATGAGGAAAGGCTGAGAAAGGGATGAGGAAGGGATGAGAAACGGCTGAGGAAAGGATGGGGAAGGGATGAGGAAGGGATGAGGAAATGATGGGGAAGGGCTGAGGAACAGCTAAGGAAGGGCTGAGGAACAGCTAAGGAAAGGCTGGGGAAGGGATGAGGAACGGATGAGGAAGGGCTGAGGAAGGGCTGAGGAAAGGCTGAGGAAAGGCTGAGAAAAGGCTGAGAAAAGGCTGAGAAAAGGCTGAGAAAAGGCTGAGGAAGGGCTGAGGAAGGGCTGAGGAAGGGCTGAGGAAGGGCTGAGGAAGGGCTGAGGAAGGGCTGAGGAAGGGCTGAGGAAGGGCTGAGGAAGGGCTGAGGAAGGGCTGAGGAAGGGCTGAGGAAGGGCTGAGGAAGGGCTGACTTGCTTGGAGCAAAGGGAGAGGAGGGGAACTTGATCTATTCTGCAGCAACTCCCTCCAACCCCAAACTTCCCACCCTTGAAAGGTTTCTCAGACAGATTCAAAGAAGGCCCAGCTGTGTCAGGGCTCCTGGGACAGCCCTGGAAACCCCCCAGGCAGTGCCAGAACCACACCAGAGTTCAGGGGAGGGTGACAGCCCTTGCACAGGGAACAATTTGGGGGGTTTATTTGGAAATGCTGGCACTGATGCCAACGAGAGCCTCCCCTGGGCTGTGTTGCTGCCAACCCCTCCCTTCCCAGAGGGAGTGCCAGGGCCACCCACCTTGCCTGTGGATGGTATCCACCAGGATATCGATCACTATGATGGTGCCCGTGCGTCCAATGCCAGCACTGGGGACACAAAACAAAAAGGCTTTGCAGGAGGGAACAGTCTGGGAACAGTCCCAGAGTTAGGCCAGGCCAGCTCCACATTCTAGATATAGAATATAATATACTACACACATTATATCTTTACATATAAATATATTTATATATTTGTATATATTTCATATATTTTTCTATAAATATATTTATATATGTTATACATTCAATATATATTTGTATATTATATTTGTATATTATATTAGTATATTATATTTGTATAGAATATTATACATTACATGTTATATATTTTACATATAAATGTATTTATATATTTTTATATATTTTATATATTTTATATATTTTTCTATAAATATATTTATATATGTTATACAGTCAACATATATTTATATATTTATATAAAATATTATACATTACATATATTTTATATATAAATATATTTTTATATACTTTATATATTTTTCTATAAATAAATTTATATATGTTATACACTCAACATATATTTATATATTTATATAAAATATTATACATTACATATATTTTATATATAAATATATTTTTATATTTTTATATATTTTTCTATAAATATATTTATATATGTTATACAGTCAACATATATTTATATATTTATATAAAATATTATACATTACATATATTTTATATATAAATATATTTTTATATATTTTTCTATAAATATATATATGTTATACAGTCAATATATATTTATATATTATATTTATATAGAATATTATACATTACAGATATTATATATTTTATATATAAATGTATCTATATATTTTTATATATATTATATATTTAATATAGATTTTATATAGTATATTTAATACAGATTTTATAGTATATTTAATACAGATTTTATAGTATATTTAATATAGATTTTATATAGCATATTTATATAGAATAGATATTTTAGATATTTTATAGATAATATAATACATTATATATTTTATATATAATATATATATATTCTACGTAATATTTTATACATTTGCACATTTAATAAAAATTTTGTATATTTTTATTTTTAATATATTAAATTTACATATTTATAGATAATATGTTTTAATATATTTTACATATATCTATTTTGATATATTTTACACATTAGATATATTTTAATATATTTTACACATTAGATATATTTTAATATATTTTACACATTAGATATATTTTGATATATTTTACACATTAGATATATTTTGATATATTTTACACATACCTATTTTAATATATTTTACACATTAGATATATTTTAATACATTTGACACATACCCATTTTAATATATTTTACACATTAGATATATTTTAATACATTTGACACATACCCATTTTAATATATTTTACACATTAGATATATTTTAATATATTGTACACATATATATTTTAATATATTTTACACTTTATATTTTAATATATTTTACACATTAGATATATTTTATATATATTTTTATATATATAATATATATGAAAAAAATATATATTTTTATGTATTTTTATACATGATATTTCCCATTATATTTCCTGTGCTGCCCCTGGTGCCGCCCCACTGCCCCCTCACCCCATACCTGCAGTGCACCACGATGGGCCCGGTGCCCGGAATGCTGCGCTGTGCCCGATTCACTTGGTCCAGAAAGCTGAGAACCCCTCCTGGCTCGTTGGGCACGCCGTGGTCGGGCCAGCTGAAGTACTGGTAGTGCCTCACCAGCCTGGGCCGCTCGTCCTGCAGGGGTGACACCACCACAGCCTCCCGTGGGGACCTGGGGACCCTCCACCTGCCCCAGCAGAGCAGCCCCATCCTGGTTAGAGCAGCTGGGCCCAGTTCATCCCTGGGTGGTGTAACCCAAAGCTGGGTGTTCTAGAGCCTTCCATGCCATTGCCCAGAAACTGGTACCAATGAACCATCTACACCCCCTGCCCAGAGCACCCCTGGCTCCTCAGGCTGTAAACTGGGTGTTCAGAGGCCTGTGAGACAGGAGGGTGCTCCTGTCCTCACACCCATTGTGGAACTCCACACCCTGAGGGAGGCACTGGGCATTCCTGCCTGAACTGGAGGATAGATAATCTTGGAGTCTTGGGACTTTTTTAACCACTCATGGGATCCAGAGAAGGACTGAGACCACCGCTCTCAACCAGACTGAGACCACCACTCTCAACCAGACTGAGACCTCCACTCTCAACCAGACTGAAACCACCACTCTTGACCAGACTGCACCAGCACTCTCACCAACAGGTTTTCCCCTCTCCTTTTACTTTGGACTCAGGGGGGGCCCAAAGAACACCACTCTGTTCATGCCCCAGGGTGCTGGGTTATACATTTGGGTTTTGTGGGTTCAAACCAACTGTTTGTCTGTATAATCGTACTTATTGTATTATTTTATTAAACTGTTATTCTGACTTATGATCTCTCTTTTGAGTCGGGTTCATTTTCCCTGCCGGTTTTTACCTTTAAACCAGCACAAGCCCCGAAACCCATCCCAAACCGGCGGCACCCAAAGCAGTGGGAGCATTAAGCAAGAAAACCCAGCGAAGGGCAAATCCAGCACTCCCTCCTGGAAGGTTCCAGCCCCGTTCCCACTCCCAGGGAGCTGCAGGACTCACCCTGTCCGGCCGCAGGACCTCCAGCTCCCGCAGCAAATAGCCCTGGGCCTCGCGCTCGCTCACGTGGCGCACGCAGATGCCCCCAAACTCCTTGGTGCTGCCCTTGTCGGGCCAGTAACGGAAGCATTTGTTCTGCAGGGACGGCAGAGAGGCTCCTTAGCCAAAATCTGGGGGGGTGGAAGGTGGCTCTGAGCCCCCCCCCTGGGGTCAGGGGGTGATGCTGCATCTGCCGGGGGTGCAGCTCCAGTGGGGAGGTGTAAAGGAGAGCCTTTGTGCACACCGAGTTAACCTGGGACTGGAAAGGGCCATTCCTATGGGATCCCTGGGGGAATCCTCTGGGGAGACCTTATAGCAGCCTCCCAGTGTGCAAAGGGGGCTTACAAGAGAGCTGGAGGGACTTTTCACAAGGGCATGGAGTGACAGGACAAGGGGGAACAGCCTGAGGCTGAAGGAGGGCAGGGTTGGGTGGGATATTGGGAAGAAATTCTTCCCTGTGAGGGTGGGGAGGCCCTGGCACAGGTTGCCCAGAGAAAGCTGTGGCTGCCCCACCCCTGGAAGTGTCCAAGGTCAGGCTGGAGCAAACTGGGATAGCAGAAGGTGTCCCTGCCCATGGCAGGGGGTGGAACTGGCTGATCTGTAAGGTCCTTTCCAACCCAAACCATTGCATGATTCCACCATCTCCCTCCTCCACCAGCCCCAGCCTCAGCTAAGGCACTGCCTTGCCAAAATTATGGTCTTGACACACAGCCCCTGAGCTGTCGGTCTGGTCATTGCCTAATTCCTGAGCCAAACCTCCATCCCAAGGGGCTCCCCAGCCTGCCTGTCCCTCCCTGTGCTCCAGCCCACCCCCCTGTGCTGTGTGGCTTTGCCAGGCTGTGAGCAGAGCTATCTTTATCTCCTCCTTGCAGCTTCCCCCTCATTCCTCAGCCAAGCTGCCTGTGCCAATCCTAATTAGCTCCTGTCTGCAGAAGGCAGTTCTGCATGGCTCTGCCTGGAATGTCACTGTATTCCCTGGCCCCTATTCCCTCGATGAAACACATTCAAGGTGGCACACAAATGGGTGGATAATTTCTTTTCCCCCTCACATAGCCTGGAACACCCCTCACTCCCCCCTCAGCTTGCTGTGACACACATGATGATTTCTGTCTCTCTCTCCCTCTCTATCTCTGTCACCTGCAGTTCCCCAGAGCCTTGAAGCAAGTCCTGGGAGGGTCACCCTGCTCAAATCTATGGGGCTGGGGATGTGCAGAGCGAGGTGTTATTTTTCCTCCATGAAGAGGAGCTAAATCAACATGACAAGACAGAGGAAAAACTAAATTAAATGAGAGCTAGACAGAGACAGCTTAACTGAACACCACTGGGACTGGCAGCAGGAATCTTTCAGGCTTGGGGACGGTGCCAAGAGACCCTCCAAGTGCTCACCCGGCCCCGTTCCACCTCCTTGGTGGTCATGACAATGACGTGGGTGTTCTCCTGGTACACCATGGCCCAGAAGTCGTTCACAGTGGTCTGCAGGCAGCCCTGGGTGGCTATATAGACCTTGCAGTGCTCCGAGCTCCTTCCATCTTCAGGGATGCTCTGAGGAACAAAGAGAAGGGTGGGGGGAGAAAAGCCAAGGATGCTGGAGTGAGGAACCTGGAATTGCTTTAGCAGCCAAGTCAGCACATTCAGCCACGCAGGATTCCCAAACCAGCTGATTTCCCTCAGGTTCTTCAGCCACTCTCATCACCAGCTTCACCAGAGCTGTCAGAAAATGCTCTGCCAGCCCCCAGGGACCTTCCTTCTGCTGTGCAGCAGAGCCTTCCCAGCAGGAACTGCTGAAGTTTCAGGTGGATGTGGCTGGAATGAAGCCACTCCCATGGTTCCCCAAAGGATGGTGTGTAAGAGCCACAGTAGCATTGCTGGAAATGCAGCTTCCAGCAGCTCTTGGCTGAGAGATACAACTTCAGAGATAATGTTCAATAGCTGAAAGGCAAGGTCAGGCCCCTGGGACTCTCTGAACAGGTAAGGAAAGGAAGGGATGGAGATAAACTCCCAGAGAGGGGCAAAGAGGGCAGGGTAGAATGATGAGATCCCTTGGCACAGAGTAGAAAAAAATCCAGTGTTTGGCCTGGATCCAGTGAAAGATATGGAGCCTGAGAGGTTATTCCCTCTAAACTCACACAGAAGCAGAGCTGGGCTGAAGGGCAGCCCCTCATGGGGTGTCCCCCAAGTACCTTGATGTAGTTGGCATTGATGTAGTCTGAGCCAGGCACACTCTCATCCACGTCCCTGAGGGCCACCCGGGTGGTGTCAACTGCAGGAGGAGAGTCCAGGATGAGCAGGAGTCACCCAGGCAGGAGTAGGGAGGGAGTTTGGGTGCACATCAGTGATACTCAGTGGTGGAGACCGACCCCAGACCAAGTTTTCTACTATTTCCTTTGGAGGCTCATAGAATCAGAGAATATCCCCAAGCTGGAAGGGACCCACAAGGATCATCCAGTCCAACCCCTGGCCTTGCCCAGGATACTCCAACAATCCCACCCTGTCCCTCAGAGCGTTGTCCAAACCCTCCTGGAGCTCTGGCAGCCTCGGGACTGTGACCAAAGCCTGGGGAGCCTGTTCAGTGCCCAACCACCCTCTGGGGGAAGAACCTTTTCCAGAACCCTGCCCTGGCACAGCTCCATATGACTCCTTTGGATTCAGAGGAGAGCAATTGGCCCGTTTTCCACACAAAATGGCAGAACCAGGTTAAAAAGGGGATGGAGACCACCACGACCTGGACAGTGACCACCTCCTTCCAACCCAGCTGTGATCAGAAAGCTCTGCAGGCTTCCCCAGCCCCAGAAAAGGCTGCAGGAACCGTGGTGGAAAACCCCAAACCCCTGTCCAGTGTCTCCTTACAGGGAAGGATGTTCTTGTAGCGATTCTTGGCCTTGTTCTCCGGCCGCTGTCCCTCCTTCCTGGGGTACAGGAGCTTGCACTCCTGCTGCTGCAGCATCTGTGGGGACACACCAGAAGAACAGGCAGTGCTGGGCACACAAGGGGAGTCAGAGGCAAGGGAAAGGCTCTTTGGACTTCCTAATGCTGGGAAGAGCAGAGGGAGTGCTGGCAGGAAGGGAAAAGCAGCCAAGAAGCAGTTTGATAGAGAGAGTTAATGAGGGGAGAAGGCACAAATCCCTGCAGGGAACAACAGGGATAAGGAAACAGAAACTGCCTCGGACACGGGAAAAAGCAGCTTAAAAGAGGAGCGGGAATTAACTCAGTTGAACACAGAAAACAAGGAAAGGAGAAACAGCTCGTCAGTGCTGGAAAACCACGATGCTCCCAGAAAAAATGGGATATTCTTCACCCACAGGTATAAGCAGGACGGAGCAGGAGAGCATCCCATACCTCAAACTCTTCCCAGAACCCCTGCTTGGCCTTCTCACTGTGATCTGCCATTTTGTTGAGCTCCTTCACCCTGTTCTCGATGTTGGCTGCGTTGATGCGCGTGGCGTTGAAGGGCTGGAAGGCGCAGACAGGACACAAATCACCCCCAGGAACAGGACAAAAAAAACCCCAGTTCCCAAATCCCCGGGGTACTGGCAAGAGCTGGGACCATTCCTGGCGCCAGGGACCTCTGGCAAGTGTGAGCCTGGACGAGCAGGATGTTCCAGAGGGGAGCAGGAGTTCCCAAAGAGCAGGGGGCAGATCTCTGCTCTCCCCCAGGGGTTTGGGCAAGCCCACAGCCAACCAACACGTCGGTTTTACCTGCTTCAGGTGAACCACAGCTCCAGACTTCTCCACCATGGGGTTCTTCTTGTAGTGCTCCACCAGGTCTGTGAGCGTGTCGAACCTCTCTCCTCCCCCCACGTCATACTTCCCATCCAGCTGCAAGGAGAGGACCCCAAATCAGTGACACATGGTGGGGGAGACCGACCCCAGACCAAGTTTTCCACTATTTCCTTTGGAGGCTCATAGAATCAGAGAATATCCCAAAGCTGGAAGGGGCCCCCAAGGATCATCCAAGTCCAACCCCTGGCCTTCCAACAATCCCACCCTGTCCCTCAGAGCGTTGTCTCAGCTCCCAGCGGGATCACCCGCCCAGTGGGAGCAGGGACAGCCCCTCTCCCACCTGGTAGTGGATCATCACGTGGGTCACGTGTGGTTTTCGGTCCCCGCTCTCCATCTTGTCCTCGTTGGTCAGCACCGACAGGACGAAGTCTCCCGGTTTGCTCTGGCTCTCCCTCACCAGGAAACTTCCCGGCTTCCCCTTCTCCGTCAGCAGCTTCTCTGCCTCCTTGCCCGTGAGGTGCCCGTGGTACCACCTGGGCAGCAGCAAAGGGGGGAAAAGTCAGCTCAGAAAGGTTCCTCAGGCAAGGGTTGAGGGGGTGGTGCTCATGCAAAACCTGTTCCCAGGCTCCCAGTCCGGCTGGCATGGCACAGACCTGGATTTATTTTGGGAACAGTCCCTGGTGACCCTCCTCCAGCAGCCTGCAGTGTCACATCAGCACCTTTCCCCAGGCTGGAGGTGCCAGGACGTGGCTGTGTCCTCCAGACAGATGTGACATGGCAGTGCCACGTGGGGTGTGACAGGGCCTGCCACCCAGGGACAGGCTCTGAGACACGATTCTCACTGTGCTTTCCTGAAGGTGGTTTTTTCCTTAGTTCTTAATAATTTAGTTCTTAATAATTTTAATGATTTAATAATCCTTTAAATTTTTTTTTAATTGATTTCCCTTAATTTTGTTAATATGGAAGAAGAGGAACTCTTGGAGTCAGACGGTGCCAGACACAAGCACAGGGCTCAAGGCCAGGTTGGACAAGGGCTTGGAGCAACCTGGGCTAGTGGAAGGTGTGGGAAGGGCCTGGAATGGGCTGGGATTTAAGGTCCCTCCCAACCCAAACCATTCTGGGATTCTGTGGACAACACTGGCCAGGAGCAAGACGCTTTGCCACAGTTTGGGAAGGGTTTTCCGAGGGTCTCCCTGGCTGCAATCACTGCTGCCACACCTGCCCAGCTCACTCACCTGGCTCAGGGCTGGCTGAGGGAGCACAGAATTGTCCTGCACACTCACCTGGAGTGGCCAAACTGGGTCCCCAGTGGGTTTTTTCCCAATCCAGCCCCACCTGCAGCCACATCTCTGGCCAGTGGCAATTACAACATGCAGAGGTTTGTGCTCAGCTCTTCCCAAACCTCACTGCATGAGCACAGCTTGCCCCACCTCCCTGTCTGGGCACATCTTGCCCCTGTTTCTCCACCTGATCTCCCAGAATCCTTTCTCCTGCTCTGCTGACACACTCCCACTGCAGTCCCAGGACATGCAGCCTTGCCACGGTGCCCTGAGGTTAAACACACAATAATCTGGGAATTCCTTGTTGCTGCCTTCTCCAGCACTACCCTGGTAGCTCCATGCTCTGGCCAGCACCTCACCTGCCCTTCCCTGGGCAGCAGCACATCCCACCCACCCCCAGCAGCTCCCCGGGGTGGGAATGTCCCCAGCCCTCTGCTCCAGCCTTCCACAGGGACCCACAGCAGCTCCTTCCATCCCCACACTCCATCAGCAGCTCTGGGCAGATGCCACAGGTCCCCTTGAAGGCAGCCAAGCTGCCAGGAACCCAGAGAGGCTCCAAAGAACCTCCCAGCAATGCCATCACGTCACGTCTCGGCAATGCTGGCCCCGAGGATGAGGTTTATGGAAGGGCAGGGAGTGATGTTGGGCCTTTGAGTCCCAACCCAGCATCCTGCAAGGGCAGCCAGGCCAAGCCTGGCTGGGAATCCCCTTTACTCCTTCCCTCAGGGTTGAGATCAGGCCCACGGGCTGCACGAGGGCAGGATGACCCAGCTGAGCTGAAGAACCTCCGTGCCAGCACTGCTGGTATCCAGCCCCAGGGCTTGGAAAACCACCGTGGTGCACGTCCTGCTGTATCCCAACACCACCCTCATCTCATCTGTTTGGAGGATTTGGACTCTTCTCCCTCCTTTCTCCTCGATGCCACCACCTGTGAGGTCTGGAGGAGTGTTTCTGGCCCTTCCCTGCCAAGCCAGCCTGTCCTTGGCAGGAGAAGAGGGGGAAGCCCGGCTGAGGGAAGGGGGTTTCCACTTTTCCAGGCTTTCTGCTCACGTGGGGGCTGCTTTTCACACACAGGGAGCAGAGAAACCTCCCTGGCAGCGAGGGAGCACATGAGCTGGAGGGACTTCCCAGGGCCTGGGCTCTCACATGGCCTGTGGAGGGCAGAGCTCTGCAGCATTTTGGGAACTGAAAGGAGCCCGTGCCAGCCTCCCCCTGCCCACCATGTGGCACTGGGGGAACTGAGGGGGAGGAAAAGGAAAAAAGGGGTCACTGGAACATTCGTGGCTGGGGCTTCATCACTGAACCACCACAAATACAGTCATTAATGACTTATGCTGGATTAGTCTTTTTAATCTCAGTTTAGGTATTAACTTCTGGTTTCTTTAACTTTATTTAAGCCTTGTTTAATTTCAATTTTCTTTGCTATCCTTTTCCTCCCAAAGAGCTGCTGATCACGGCTTTAACTTCCCAATTGTCTTTAAGAATAAGTAACCCACAGACTGAAAAAAAAGCTTTGGTGATTAAGAGTCACAAGCTGAAACAACACCTTGGTTTTAAACACCAACAAATTCTCCTTACAAGACATTGTTTTCCTTGCCCAAACATCCTCCCTGCAACACCCCCTCCTACTACCATTACAATAAAAAGTAAGAGTTGTTTCTGCTGTGACTTTTGGGATTAGTTGAAGGGGTGTTTGCATGTCTTTAAAAAAAAAAAAAAGGGTTTGCAAACACTTCAAACTAAGACAAGGAAAAACAGCTCTTTCAGGGAACTAATCTTCTGTCAGATAAAGTGGCATCAATATATCCCCCCAGATGAAGGGGAGGAAAAAAAAGGTCATTAAATCAGTGGAAACAGCCTGAAGGAGCCCAAGGAGAGTCATCCATCCCTGCAAGGCAATCCTTGCTGGGATGAACAGGGGTTACAGGCTGAGATGGGGTGGGGGAAACACTTTCTTTGGGGGATTTCTTGCCCAGGAGGACAAGCCACTTGTAGGTGGTTTTGTTTCCTTTAGAAACAAAAACGTGGGACTGCTGGGATAGACCTGTAGGGCTCTCTGTGGATGGATTCACCCTGCTCATATTGGATGGGGCTCTGAGATGTCCCTGCCCCTAAATGCCATTTAAATGTCCCTTCCAACCCAAACTATTCCAGGATTCGATGTTGCCTAAAAGCTGGAGAAAGCTTTTCAGCACAAGTTGACACCGAGCAAAGAGCTTGCTCGTGTCACCTGCCAGCTTCTGGCTGTAGGGTCACAGAGTCACTGAGGTTGGAAAAGACCTCTCAGACCATCAGATGGAACCTTTGGCCCCTCACCACCTCGTCAGTCAGATCGTGGTGCTGAAAAAGTGCCACACCTGTGAATGTCTGTGTGAATGGCTGCGTCCCAGAGACAGGCAGCTTTTGGGTCACCAAAGTTTCATCACACCAAGCACACCCTTGTTTCAGGTTCCTTCCCAAACCCAGGTCTCCAGGCTGAGCCACCTGGGAAGAAACCACCCCCAGCCCGGGGCAGGGCAGTGGGAGAGCCTGGTTTACCTCTCCGAGGTGGGGTCCTGGCAGTTCAGAGGGTACTTGAGCTCGATGACGTTGCTGTTCTTCTCCCTGAGCAGCCCCTGCTGCTCCGTGTAGTACTGCACCAGCTCTGCCAGGGTGGCAAACTTCTCACCCCCATACAGGTCATAGTAATCCCCCGTGTTCTGGATCTTGATGTGGGTCACCTCGTCGTTCCTCCTGAGGGAGGAGGACAAAAAACACCGTCAGGGTGAGGGAATGGAAACTCGACTCCAGCCTGCAGGGCTCAGCTGCCTCCTGAGCACCAACCCACCCCTGGGAGCTGCACCACCAGCTCTCCCTGCACTCAGGTGCCACCCTGCTACCCCCAGGAAAGGGATGGATGCTCCTTGGATGAGGTTCCTCAGCCAAGAGCTGGCTCTGTGCCTCACCAGCTGCCACCCAGAAAGCCTCACACAGAGGCTTCAGGGAGACAGTGTTTTAGGCTCTCCTTAAGGCAGCCCTGACTTGCTAAAAAATACTTTATCAGTGAGAACCAGTAGCTCCAGTTTGCTCTTGGATGCTTTGTCTGGCATTGAGGTGATTTCCGGTTCGTGCCAACCCAGTGACAACAACCGAGTGTGAACAGGCAGAGACAGCATCCATGTATTCCCATCATCCCACATTAACAGCAGAATAAACCCAGGAAAAGGCTGACAATCGGGCCTGAGGTGGGAAAAGCTGCATCTGGAGCCTGGACAGTCACGCTGCACCTCGAGAACAAGGTCCTGGAGACAGAACCCAACCATCTGTAGCAGGGGAAGCTGCAGGGTGGCACTGCTGGGTGTTCACAGAGACATGGATAACTCTCCCTGACACGTCTGCCCTGGTTGCCACCCCAAACCCAGCTGTTCTGCGGGCACAGACTTCAAAGTTTGGCAATATTTGCATGGGCAGAAGTCACTGGATGGGAAAGAGAACTGGCTGTGAGATTCCCAGCCCGGCCAGCACGATGACAATGCCTCTTCTCCAAGAGGGGCTGGCACACGAAGTGCTCCTGCCATTCATGGCAGCAGCTGGACCTGAAGAGCCCTTGTGCAGCCCAGAAAAATACAGCACACACTGTTTTTTCCCTGAAGCTCAAACCCTCCCTTCCTTCCCCAGCTCCAGCCCCAGCCCAGCCCACAAAGGCTCAGTTCACAGCCCCAGCCCCGAGGCCTGAGAGCCCTTCAGGGATGAAAAGCAGAGAGATAATCAAGGTCATTCATCCCCCAAGCCCTCAAGGTCACTATAAACACAAAGGACAATGATCAGTGCCCGTTTCCTTCCCATTTCAAGGTCTGCAGCTCCAAGCTGGGCAGCAAAACTGGGCTGTGCAGCAGCAGCGTCCTGTGAACTGTGCCCTGGACTCTCTGGCTGGGGAAATAAAGCACAAAAGAGGTGCCCAAAAATCTCTCTGCTGGAGGGCATGGCCACATCTGGCTAAGCCCCACCGAGCTGGACAGGGAGGCAGCACTGATGAACAGCACAGCCCCACTTTTTGGCGGCTTCAGTGAGAGCTGCCTCCATTCCAAGCTAAGCTTCTTTACACCACCAGCACAGCTCCTCAGCCAGATATCCACGAGGGTTTCTTGATCCAAAATATTCCCACTTGGGAATCTGAGCCCACACTGCAGTGACCACCAGGCTGCTTTTGTTAAAGCAGAACACAGTCAGTAACAACAGGACTCACAAAAAACCCAAGCAGACCCTTTTTTTTGGCACTAGAGGTAAAAGAACTACTTTAAACGTCAGAAATAACTGCACCAATTGCATCCTCAAAAGTCTTTTTTGGTCAGGTGCCTGTGTGTCAGACAGAGGCAGCCTAAAACTTCCCAGCACACACACAGATGACACCTTTGACAAGCTGGAATCAGGTGGGAAGGGGCTCTGAGCTCACGGGGGCATCACCCCCCCCCTCACACACACGTATTTCCTCAGCAGGAGTTTATTTTCCACTCTAATTAAAAGCACTTCCTGCCTCTCTCATTAACTCACAGCCACTGCTGATGGGGAGATTACTGGGGAGCCAGTGAGGTCACGCTCCCCACCCAGCCAAGGCCCAGGAAAACCTGGAATTCTTCCCTGGAATTCTTCCCTTTCCCACCGTGGGAGGCTGTGGGCAGTCAGAGCCCCGGGAGAGGCAAAGGGGTTGGACTGCTGGGATGGGTCCCCCAGCACTAAAGGGAGCACTGAAAACATCAGGCAGCTGCAAACCCTCTTGCCAAGCTGAGAAAGGACAGCCCTGGGCAGAGAGGGCGAGAGGAGGGCAGGGTCAAGGGACAGCTGGAAAAGGGAGGAGAAATTTCAGGCACTATTTCAAAGGTATCTATATTGTTTCCTTTGAAAACCTTTTATTTCTCAGAAAGGAAGAAATATATATATAGAGAGAGAGACCTGTCCAGTTCAGATACTAAAAAAAAAAAGAAAAGAGCTCTGTCAGGATATAATTCTAGATGAGAATAATAACACATTGTTCCACCTTTATCACAGGGAAAGGGGGAAGATAACTGCCCCAAGAGGGGTTTGATCCAAGTGGTTAAGGCAGCAAGGAGAGGGGAAAAGCCTCAGCAGAGCCACTTGGCTGCTCCCACAGCACAGGGGGAGAGAGCAGGGCCCAACCACGCTCCTGGGAGATGTACCATCACTCCTGGGAGATGTACCATCACTCCTGGGAGATGTGACATCACTCCTGGGAGATGTGACATCACTCCTGGGAGATGTGACATCACTCCTGGGAGGTGTGACATCACTCCTGGGAGGTGTGACATCACTCCTGGGAGGTGTGACATCACTCCTGGGAGGTGTGACATCACTCCTGGGAGGTGTGACATCACTCCTGGGAGATGTGACATCACTCCTGGGAGGTGTGACATCACTCCTGGGAGATGTGACATCACTCCTGGGAGATGTGACATCACTCCTGGGAGGTGTGACATCACTCCTGGGAGGTGTGACATCACTCCTGGGAGGTGTGACATCACTCCTGGGAGGTGTGACATCAAGGTGAGATTCTCTGTCCTGCCAGGTGGAAAAGCTCTGCCCAGCCTGTCCTTTGCACAGAGTTTCTCCAAACACAGCATTGGGTCAAGGGATTTATAAACTCCCTGGAGCTTCCTAAACAAAACAAGGGTTGTTTGAACTAAACAGAAGCTGCCACAAAAGAGAGAGAGAGGCCCATGTTCCAAAACAGGTCTGTGTGCAAGTGCCTGGGGAAACCTCTGCTGAGCCAACTCCCTGCAAGGCACCAGCTGGATGGTGCTCATGGAAAGCTCAAGCCTTGAACCCACTGCTTTTCTCTCAGGGACTCACTGGGGGATGTCACTCTTTAGCTTTTCCCTTCCAGAGAGTTCCTCCTGGTGGTTCTGCTCCACTGCATCCCTTAAGGATGCCCCTCAGGGCTTCCAGTCACAAAGACCACTGACAGAACTTTCCTCCTGCCACTGCCTTGGTCCCAAAGAAAACAGGAGCATGCTGGAGGTGATCTTAAAGGGAATTCAGCTGTGGTGAGGCTGGGCAGCAGCTCACCCTCCTCTGAGGGTGATCCTGGGATCCCTCACAGACACAGAAAACGAGTCTCTCCCAAAGGCAGCTGCATTTGGGTCCTTTGGAATCAGAGGGAGAGGGTTCATCCCTGCTGGGACCGAGCGTACTCTTCCCTCCTCTGGCAACAGCATGGAAACACGTGCCAGGAGCCCAGCCCTGGCAGGACAGGGGCATGTGCAGCCCCCAGGGATGAACAAATCGGAGTGTGGCTCCTGGCACAGCCTCTGCAGCAACAGGGAGAGTTCAGTGAACCTTTGACTTCACGGAGAGGTGGCCTGGAGAGCTCCATCCAGCCCCTTGCTCCTCTTACCTGACAGAGAGAGTGAAGTCCCCGGGGTTGCTCTTGCTGGGGCGAGCCAGGAAGCTGCCATGGACACCCCTGGTCAGGAGGAGCTTCTCGGCCTCAATCCCACTGATGTTGGGATGAAACCACCTGTAAAGGGCAGAAGGGACACGTGAGAGGGTGATTCACCCTTTTTCCACCTGCAGGCACAGTCTGGTCCTGTCCATCTCACCCTCCTGCCGCGGCAGAAAAGGGAAATACAGACAGTTCACCCCGAGGGGGGAAAATGTTTCATCATTTTCTGTGCTACTTTAATGTAATCTTTGTATTTTGAGCGTCATCAAACCACCTCCTGATCTAATTTCTGCGCTATCAGTCTCCATCAAGTTCCCTTGATCACAAGAACTGGTGTTTCCCCAGGCTTTAATGAGTGCTTAAATATGCACATTACACCAATGATTCCCCACGTGGCACCGGTTTTACGGCTCCTTTTTTTTCCCCCCCCCCCCAGAAGCTGCTGAAAACCCACTTTTCTAAATGCCAGGCTCTTTTGAGTAATCTCACAAGTCCCACACAGAGCACCCCAAAAGGAGAGGCACTCGATTCTGAAAGTATTGCTCAGCTTTAGGTCACGCTCCAGCAGACACTGATGGAATATTCCACATGAGCAAAGAGGAGATGAGCCACAATTAACGCTGAATGGTAACAAGGGGGGTTTATTTAAGAGTATTTTTGAGGCAGCACCAGCTGCAAGAGAACTGGCTGCACAGCCAAACCCCCCTTCAGAGGAAAGGACAATGTTACAGGAGTCCCTGGAGGTTGGACAGGTCTGAACTAAACAACTAAAAACTGCAAGGTTTAGAGTTCAGAGAGTGAGTGAAATGCGGGTTTTCAGGAGGAGAATATCTGGAAGCATTTAGGAGGCTGGTTTCTGGGATACAGCTGCCCCTGGGTCGGATTTAGCCAACACACTGTCCCCCCCCTCCCCCCCAAAGGGTTTGCAAGTTTATCTCAGTGGGGGCAGAGAAATGCCTGTGCTAGGAAATACAGCCAAACCCACCCTACAAACAGAGTGTGTGTTTGTCTCCGAGGTACACACAGGAAAGGTCAAGAAATGTCACCATCTCCTCCACAATTTGGGATTTCCTCCCCGCCACCACAAGCCAAACAGTTTTGACTGCAGATCCCTGGATTTCTGCAGGAGGAGAGGTGTTTCAGGGAAGGGTCGTGGAAACAGATGGTAAACAGGAATCCCAGTGTTTCCAAGCCTGTATTCCTGACATCCCACGAGTGCCACCCTTTCATAAACCCGCTGTCTGCAGGGCCAGCACTTAACTGGGCCCCAGAGCTGCTCCTGGGAGGGGAAGGAATGTTCTAATGGGGCTTAATGGAGCTCAGGGACACCCCAAGGCTGCCAGAGGCCACACACAGCATTCCCACTGAATGCTAATGGCAGGAAAAACTAAGGAAATATCTTTGGTAATGAGAGTGGGATGAGAGCTCTTGCAGATATGGACACACCAGCTCTGGGAACGTCCCAGTCTGTGTGGCAGTGTCCAAACCCCTTCAAAGGCTGCTCAACCCCCCCCCCCCCATGGAAACTCAGGTTATCCTGGGATGCTCAGTTGGAGCCAGACCTGTGGGATGCTGAGAACAGACACCTCTGTCGGTGCCAGAAGAGGGCAGAGGTGCTGGGGCTGTGAATATTCCAGCAGCCAAGGCACTGGGATGCCACAAGGAACAGCCAACAGGGACAAAAGGACCTGATGTCCAACCTCCCTCCTACCTGGGAGGACCACAACCTTCTTCCCTTTCCACTGTTGGCCACAGCCACAAAATCCATCCACAAGTCCCTTTTCAGCCTCTTTTTCTCAGCTTTCAAACACTCCAAGAAGGAAAGCAACTTAAAGAGGATCCAAACTGGATCCCCACCACAGGAAAAAAAAGTCCATTGTTAATATCAGGCCATGTTCTGATGTCAGCAAATAATAAACATCACTGTGCAGTGGGTCACTCAGGCAATGGCTTTTTGCAGGACTGAGTCACCCCTGGAGAATCCCTGGAAATAAAAGTGGGGATCCAGGTAAATCAGACACAGGTACCTCCTTCTCTTCCAAACAGGAGCAACATTCCAGCAGAAGCCCTGAAAAAGGGACTCTTTCCCCACATTAAAAATTTATCAAATAATTTCTCTTTAATTACTAAAGAGTCATCATTTCCATGCACTGTTAGTCATTTCCTCCCTCACATGAGCAGGAATGCTTTCTTCTGCTGGAATGCATCCCTGTGCTCCTGTCTTGGGATAAAACAGAATAAAGAGTTGAGCAACACTGTTACACCCTTAAGAAACCCATAAAACGAGGCAGTTTTAAAAGCCTGTCTGGGAATCCTGGACTCTGAACAGCTCCAGCAAACATCCCATGAAGTGGATAAAGGATAAAAAAGCACCATATCCAAAAGGATACTACAGCAATGGAGCAGAACATGGCACTGGGGAAGCAGGGTGATCCCATCCTGACCCAGAGGAACCCTTAGAAATGACTGTCTGAGGTGCCACAGGGGGATCCAGCTCCCAGCTAGGATGACCCTTTAACCTACAGCTAAACAACACAGTTCTTCAGTGAGGCCCCAAAGGAGATGGAAGTGAGTTATTTCAGACCACCACCTTTCTTTTCCCCTTCTCTCCCAGAGCTCAAAAGCAGCACAGAAGAGGAAGGTGTCAAAGTGGGGTCGAACTCGATGATCCTTGTGGGTCCCTTCCAGCTCTGGATATTCTGTGATCCCATGGACACGGTGGCTGCTGAGCCTTACAGACCAGCAGAGCCAGGACGTCTCCCCAAATCCTGCCCACAGGAAAGCAGAGTCACCCCAGAACACGGGAAAGCCACGGTCACAGGGCTTGGGGACAGCGTGTGCCCTGGCTCTGGGGGTGCCCAGAGCAGCCAGCCCCAGGTGCACGTGCCCTGGGTTTGTAGGACAGTTCAGCCCAGAGGCAGGGAGAGAATTCGGAGCATCTGGAATGGTAAAACTTCTCTGTGTTTGGCTTGGAGAGGATCAAAGCAAATATGGCTCAAGAGGCTCCGTGTGTGGTTCAGCACAGGCTCCGATCCAGCAGCTCAGGAACTGGGAGAGGATGGGATCAACCACCACCAGAGCTCCCTTCTGCTCTGCTCCAGCCCCCCAACAGCAGCCAGGAGCTGGGGGACAATGCTCACAGTAGATGCTGTCGATGCAGGGCAGGCAGACCCCCAAATCCCCAGCAGAGTCAGCCCACCTCCCTCTGCAGTGGGGAAAGGCAGGATGGATCCAGGAGGATCCAGGAGGATGGATCCAGGAGGATGGACCCTGCCCTTGGAGGCAGCCAGGCAAATAATCAGCTGAGGATTCTTCCAGCAGAGAAAGGAGGTTGTGGACTGGTGAGAGGAGGTGTAACTTGGGGCAGTGCAGCTCTTTGCAAGGCTAAGTGTCCTGTTCAGCAAATAGGGAAAAAAAACAACCCTTCAGATCTGCAGAAGGGATCCAGACACTTCATATCCATTCAGAGGGAATATAAACATCCATCAGCTCGTTGTGTTGGGCTGTAGGAACCGCTCAGCCCCTCAGCAGGGTGGGTACCAAGCCCTAACCCCAGAGGGAAGCCCTCTCTCCATGTCTCTGGATATTCCCTTCCTGCACCCACTGCCTTCTGGGCAGCTTTTCCAGTCACTTGGCACATCAAAATCCAGGCAAGGGCAATCTCCCCTTTTCCCTCAGCAGCCTCTGGACCACCCCAGCCCACTGTCCTGCTGCAGGACACCCCAGTGATGCTTCACCCACCCACAGGGGGTGTGAATCACCTGAGGCTGCAGCGATGGAAAGTTCAGCCCACGCCTCTGCCCATCAGCCAACGACCTTCACGAGGGGTGAAGCAGAGCTGGTGGGAGCTGCAGAGCACCCAGAGCTCCTCTGTGTCACAAAGAGGGGTTTAACTCACCACCCACGCTCTGGTTTGAAACCCAAACCCTCCCGTCGGCGAGGGTTTCACACCCAGCTCTCGAGAAGAGCTTCTCCAGAAGTGCCACCTGCACAGGAGCACCCTGGGCACAGCAGTTTCCATCAAAAAAACCCACACCCAGCTCTCGAGAAGAGCTTCTCCAGAAGTGCCACCTGCACAGGAGCACCCTGGGCACAGCAGTTTCCATCAAAAAATCCCTGGGTTTAGGCAGGGATTAACTGAACTACATCACTAAGATCAGTTTTACGACTCTTGTCATTTAATTCCAGTCTCAACCCCGTCCCTGAAGACCTGGAGGAAGGTGCTGGACAGACCCATCCTGGGGGAGGGGGTGGCTTTTGCTAAAGCAGGAAGAGCAGAGTGCACATCCAAACCCCAGAGACAGCAGGGAAAGCACTCCAGGAGCTCTTTCCTTCCAGAAGCAGGAGCAGGCACCACCCTCCTGGCAGGGAGCTGGTGCAGACAGTTCCCATTTACTTGGCTCTGGAGCCTCAGCTGGCACTAATTGCTAATTAATATAAATTCACATCTGTCCTGTCTCCATGACACACGCAGCAGTCTGCACTCATCAACTCCCTATGATTCAGTTCCTTTATCTAAATTATTCCAGTCCACGCCTGTCCCTGGCACATCTCCCTCTCTCCACGTGCTGTCCCATTCCTTCCCCTCCTGGACCATCCACCCCACCTCCCAAAAGCAGCAGCACACCCATGATCTGGCACAGCCTCTCAGCAAAAAGGTTTCAAGTTGTTTGGGTGCCCCAAAGTGATTATTTTGCTCAGGGAACTAAATAGCTTGTTCGATCTGGCTGAGATCAGAGCAGACAGAAATCACTCCGAGGACAAGTAGCACGAAAAACTCCTGTCACATAAATAGCAGCCAGTTAAGGGGGATGCATCAGCTCCTCTGCCTGGGATGGATGCACAGGAAAACACATCATCTGGAGGAGTTGGCATCTCTGTGGTCCCAGATTTGCTTGGCAAAGTCTGCCAGGGTTCCCTCAGCCTCTCTGCTGTAAGTTCACATCTCTTAAAAAGGCCCTGATCTGAGCTGGGAAGGGTCGAAATGCAATCACACCCAAGTCACCTGTTATCCCTCCAGGGAAACCCCGGGTTATGAATCAGGTCATCAGCTCAAAACCAGCGATTTCCAGGAG